CCCAGTTCGTCACAGCTTGCACTCACAAGTTTGCACGGGCGTTGTGCACACGCGGTTGCACCGTTGCGCGGTTACACGCACGTATTTGCACGCGCGCGTCCAGGCTGGGTCACTCTCGGGGACTGAGCCCCGGGCCCGGGATCTGGGGGGGCAGCTGGGCGCGGACTTAAGCCGGGCTTGGGGCGTTACGTCAGTGGCTCGGCGATCCCGGGCGGGCGGTGGCTGCTCCCGGCCCCCGCCCCCGAGTCCCGGCCGGCTCCGGAGCCAGCCCCGCGCAGGACGCGCCAGCAGCCGGATCCGGGGCAGCGCCCGGCGGCACCAGGCAAGTCCCGCACCCCGCAGCGACGGGCCGAGCACCCATGGGTGCCGCGGGGCCGGGAGCTGCGGGGCCTCGGCCGGCGGGGACCCAGGGCGGGTCCGGGAAGGGGCGGCTGATTGCCGGGGGTGGAACGGGGCCAGCCCGGGTCTGCGCCGGGCCGCGGGACCCCCGAGCGGAGCGACCCGGGGCTGGGGTGGAGCGGGTCCGGCCGCCGCCTTTGCACTGAGCAGGGTGTGTGTCAGAGTGTGTGTGTGTGTGTGTTTCAGTGTGTGCATGTCAGTGTGTGTGCTCTGCATGTGCATTAGTGCTTGTGTGTTAACACGGCAGGGACTTAGTTTGTGGATATGCAATAGTGCGTGTGTGTGTTTGTGTTAGAGTTTGTGGTCTGTGGTGTATTAGTGTGGAGTGTTGTGTGTGAATCGTGTTTGTGGATATGTGTATTTGTATGTTGGTGTGTGTGTGTGGGCGTGTGGTGTATTAGTGTGTTGTGTGTGAGTTGTGTTTGTGGATATGTGTGTTGGTGTGTTGGGGGGGTGGCTGGGGGTGTTGGCCTGTGTCCCCCCCGCTGGGCTCGTGCCCACAAACCCCTTTCTCGCACCGTCTCTCAGGGGCTGGTAGGGGTGCTGGCCTGGACCAGGGGCCAGGGCTGGCGCGGGGCCGGGGCTGTAGTTCTGGGCGCTGCCAGGGGCCGATTCCCAGGCCCACGTCTCTGTTTGCTCCCTTCACACCCCAGAGCCCAGAACGGGGCGGGGGAGGTTTGCCCTAGGGGCAGGATTAGTACCTAATCCAGACTCTGCCCCCACGCTGCCCCCCCCTCCACTCCCAGGTGTGCGGTTTATTTATAACCCAGCAGCTCCCCGTGTGTCACATCCTCCCTGGGGGCAGGGGGCATTCGCAGTGTTACGCCCCCGGCGGGGGTGGGGAGGCGCCGAGCGCTGTCTCTTCTCCACCCGAAGGGTGGACGGGCACGGAGGCACCACCCGGAGGCACCACCCGGAGGCGTCCTGGGGCTCGGCTGCCCTGGGAGCGACCGGAGCCGCGCGCCTGGCGTGACCCAGTGCTTGGCAGGGACCCTGCTGCCTGGCCGGGGGGTAGGTCATGCCCAGAGGCTCGTGGGAGGCGCTGGGCCTGGCTCGGTTCGGAGAGCGGGGCCGGAGGGCCCAGGGGGGGAACGGGTCCGGGGCAAGGAGAGCTCGGCGGGGTGGGGCAAACGCCGTGTCGGATGGCGGGAGCGGGTGCCCAGCTCGAGACACCTGGGGGCCTGGCTCCCAGGCAGCGTCTCCGCTTGGTGCCCCCGGGAAGGGCAGGGGCTGCGGTTTCCAGCCGGCCCCTGGTCCCAGGTCCCTGAACCTCAGGGCTGGGGGTCCTGAGCCCTGGGGCTTTTCATGACAGCTGCAGGCTGGGCCAGGGAGGGAGGAGTGGGCCAGGGACGTGGGGTCCTCGCACAGGGGGGACGTGTGGTGAAGGGTCGGTCAGGGAGGCAGGCGACCTGGATTCTGCTGCAGGCCCTTCCCGGGCCAGTCACTGCCGATGGCACAAAAACTAGGGGAGAGAGAAACAAAGCAGAGCCCGGGTGACTGGCACAGAGCGATGCGGATCTCCTGGCAAGCTGCGCCCAGGTGAACTCTGTGTTTTAATGCCGCCGAACACAAACGTAGATGGCTAGGAACAGAGGACGGCCGCCGAACGCCTGTTCTGACAGGGGAGGGGATGCTGCCTGGAGAGCAGGGACCCTGACAAAGGTTTGGGGGGCGTGGTGAGTAATCAGCTGGACTCGAGCTCCCAGCGCATGTGACCCTAGGATGCAGAAATGGGAATCTCCCGCAGGAGCAGAGAGGTGATTTCCCCCATGTTTGGCCCTGGTGCGACGCTGCTGGGAGCCTGGGGCCGGTTCTGGGGCCCGCTGGTGGATTGGGGGGTCAGAGAAGAGCCAGGAGAACGACCGCTGGGTTCGAAAGCTCCTGGGGGCGACAGACGGCAGGAGCTCCGGCTGCTTAGCTGAGCACAGACGGTTCAGGGGTGACTTGATCCCAGCCTGTCGCTGCCCACAGGGGAACACACGTCCCAGAGGGAGGTCAGACGAGCCGCTGGCTGGAATTTGAAGCGAGATACATTCAGGAAGTACGGGGTAGGTTTAGGGTAATTAACCACTGGAGCAACTTACCAAGGGTGTGGGGGATTCTCCAGCACTGGCCATTTGGAAATCGAGGGAGGCTGTTTTCTAAGAGCGCTGCTCTAGAGAGTCCCCTGAGGCAGGTCTCTGGCTTGCGTTACACCGGGATCAAGGAGTGCAGACCAGCTCGTCACAGTGGAACCTTCTGGCCTTGGAACCTGGGAATCTCTCTGGGCCTTTGTGCCCTGTCCCTAAAACCGGGGTAATGAGTCGGCTTTGTCTGTGGGGGTTGTTGTGAGCTCTTCAGTACAGAGACAGTCTGTGTCTGGGCAGTGCCCCGCCCGACGGGGCCCTGATCTTGGTCGGGGTCTGGGCGGCGCCCGGCCCGACGGGGCCCTGATCTCGGTCGGGGTCTGGGCAGCGCCCGGCCCGACGGGGCCCTGATCTCGGTCGGGGTCTGGGCAGCAGTTCCTCGGGCATCGCCTTTAGCCCCGGGTGATGGGGCTCAGGCACTGGCTTGAGCCCCGGGCCCCAACAAGTGTAACGCCAGCCCTGGCGTCCCGTTAAAATGGGGTTGTGACCCACTTTGGGGCCTTGACCCAGAGTTTGAGAACCACTGATTGATTAAATAACAATAACCATCTTGCTCCATTGAAGTATCCCACCCTCGACCAGTCCTTAGACTGGGCCCATCCGGAGCAGTGCTGAGTAACCACGACGACGTAACCTGATCTGAGTCTGTATTCATTATATCGAGTACTTAAGAATCCCCAGTTCTCACTTTGAGGGTTGGCAGGTTCTTGCCCCAAGATCAGGCCCAGTGTTATTAAAATGATTATCCAGACGGTAACCCCGACGTGCACAGATGCAACACTCCCACGCTAGGAACTCCTTTATATTCACAAATATAGTTTATTCAGCGCAGTGTCAAAGACCCCAACTCAGGCAGATGGAGATAGGACAGGATGTCCATCTGCACATCCATCTCCTCACCCCATCTCCTGGAATGTCAGCCATCGTCTTCCTCATCACCATCACCTTCCTCCTCAACACCAGTGCCTGTCATCCTGGCACCTCCCAACGACTGCAGCTCTCTCTCCTACCGCCCCTAGGCTGCGATGCCCCTTCGTAATACGTGACGCTGGCGCCGTTATGTTTAATGCATATTCAGTGGGCGATTTTTCCTTCTCTTATTTGTATTTCCTCGCGTCACTAATGTTGGGGGGTCTTTTTCCTATAGGCTGGTGTAGCAATGATCTCAACTTATTATATACGTCCAGTCATTACCATGGCCCGTTTGTGGTTAGGTATCACATTGGTTATTTCGATCCTAAGCGGTTCTTTCCAAGTTCCAAGTTGTGGGGCACCTGGTAAGTTTAAAGGGTCTGAACCTAGGAAAGCCCCTGTGGCAACCTGCTTTAACGCATCCTCTATGGTAAAGATCGCTGTCATACCTGGACCTTATGCTTTAGCTCCATCTATCGAGGTGAAAGGTCCCAGACGTCTGTCTGCTCACTTTGCCTTAGTTCACCATACAGAATGTGGCCTGCAGATCCCTCGAGTTACAGCCAAAATATACCCTAATAGAAACCTGTTATAATCAAACTTACAAGAAAATAAGAAACGAGAGATATAGGCAAGCAAGCAGGCTAGCCTTAAATGTGTCTCACGGACCTGGTACGTATGTCAGTTGGTTGCCAGGACACTTCTGTGGTTGAATTATTTACCTGTGATCAGAACTTCCCCTTAAAAACTCTATTTTCAGCTGCCCAAATGCTTGGGGTTTTTCCATGGGGTCGTTTATCTGTGCAAAGTTCATAGGTCTTAAGCCTTATGCTAACTTGCGGAAGCTGATGTCTTACAAGATACAGGCCTGTAGGTTTCTTGCATTGCTGCTGACTAGAACGCAAAGCAGTCAATATAATAAAGGCAAACTAGCCATCTGGGCTACAGTGGCCCCAGAGAGGTGGCGATTTCCCCCACACACACACCTGTCTCTCCCCTGCCTGCAGCCAGGACGCCGGTTCTGCTGACACCACTCTCTGGTTCTCTCTGTCTCGGCAGGAAAAGCCTGCAGGTGAAGATTGTGGACGATGAAGAGTATGAGAAGAAGGACAACTTCTTCATCGAGCTGGGGCAGCCGCGCTGGCTGAAACGGGGCATCTCGGGTAAGGGGGGCACCTGCTTCCATCGCCAGGCTGGAGTCGGGGATCCCTGCTTCTCCGCTCACCTGGTCTAAAGCCGGGGTGGGCCAGTTTGCCACCAGCTCCCTGTCCCTCTGTGAAGCCAGGCGGCATGTCCCATTGTGAGGGCAATCGCAGTCAGGACTCCTGGGTTCCAGTTTTGGTATGGGGAGTGGGGTCTAGTGGTTAGAGCAGGGGAGGGGGCTGGGAGCCAGGACTCCTGGGTTATATCCCGGCTCTGGGAGGGGAGTGGGGTCTAGTGGTTAGAAAGGCAGGAGCTGGGAGCCAGGACGCCTGGGTTCTATCCCAGCTCTGGGACGGGAGTGGGGTCTAGTGGTTAGAGCAGGGGGCTGGGAGCCAGGACTCCTTGGTTATATCCCTGGCTCTGGGAGGGGAGTGAGATCTCATGGTAAGAGCATGGGGGGGAGCCAGGACTCCTGGCTTTGAGAGGGGAGTGGGGTCTAATGGTTAGAGCAGGATGGGGGGCAGGGCCGGGAGTCGGGACTCCTGGGTTCATTGTATTCATGGCTCTTGGGAGGGGAATGGGGCCTAAGGGTTCGATCGGGGCGAGCGTGAGTCAGGACTCCTGGGTCCTGTTGCCCGTTGTGGGTGGCGGTGGTGATTTCAGGACATTGTGGAGGGCAGGCTGAGCCAGGGAACAGCAGGAGACCTCAAACGCCCCAGATTTCTTGAAGGGGCAACGTGAGAAATTCTGCTTGGAGAACAACCCTCGCTTGCATCCTGCCTGGCCGGAGGCCTTGCCCAGGGATTTTGATGCATGTGCATTATGAATCCAGTTGATCAGAGCCAGCTGCTCCGGCCCCAGCATAGGCGAGAGGACAGGGCTAGAGAAACCGGACTGGAGAGATCAGAGGCTCAGTGGATGAGGATGCGTCTCTGTGCCAGTTGTGACTAACTCGTATTACAACCTGCTGCCCGTTCAGCGGAACGAGTTTGTCAGCCCGGTTCCTTGCGGGCAGGAGCCCAGCTGGGAAAAGCCCAGCTTATGGGCGATTGCCCCACTCACTCCACTTCTGAGCCCGGCCTCCTGCCTTCAACCGGGATCTTCCCTCTGGTTCCCCTCTGCGCGGCGCTGATCCGCTGGTCGGACTCATGGCATGTTCTTTCTCCCTCTCTCTCTCTCTGCAGCTCTCTTGCTAACTCAAGGTAAGACCCTTTCTCCTCACCTCATCCTCTCCTCCATTCTGCTCTCCCCCGCCCATCTATCCCCCAGCCTCCCCAATGCGTGGGTCTCCAGGGGGCCGGGGCACGGGGGGACTCCCAAGCCGTGTCGGCCGCCCATCGGAAGAGCAGAACTCACGCCGGGAGTGGGATGTGCCGGAGAGAGAGGCTCCCGCTTTCTATTAAGGTTTCACGCCCAGCAGCTTAGGAAGGGTAAATACGTAACGAAGAGATAGGTAGCGCCATAGACCCCAAGGCCAGACGGGATCATTTCTCACCATAGACTCATGGAGATGTCGGGCGGGAAGGGACCTTGACTGGTCATTAAATCCAGTCCGCTGCACTGAGACAGGACCAAGCCAACCTAGACCGTCCCTGACGGGGTCTGTCCAACCTGTTCTTCAAAACCTCCCGTGACCGGGATCCCACAGCCCCCCTTGGATGCCTGTCCCAGAGCTTAGAGCTTTTCCTAATATCTCACCTAAATCTCCCTTGCTGCGGTTCGCGCCCATTACTTCCTGTCCTACCTCTAGCAGACGTGAGACCAACGGATCACTGTCCTCTTTAAAACATGTCTCCCACCCTGCCCCTCCAGTCGTCTGTTCTCCAGACTAGACGTGCCCAGTTGTTTTAACCTCCCCTCCTAGGTCAGGCTTTCTAAAGCTTTCCTCCGTTTGGTTGCTGTCCTCTGGACTCTCTCCAATTTGCCCCCATCTTTCCCAAATCACGGCCCCCAGAATGGCACCCAGCATCCACAAGGGTGACCAGACGTCCCGTTTTGGCCAAGCCAGGCCCCTTTTTTAAGCCCTGTCCTGGCCACCCTGACTTTTTTGGGGCAAAAGTGGGCATGTAGTTGGCAGGAGCCAACGGGACAAACGCCCACTTGTGCAAAAACGTGGGGCGGGCACCCTGTCACGGAGTGTGGGGGGACACAAGGCCCTGCACCCCCGGCTTCCTGCGATTCACCATGACTCTCAGCCAGCCAGTAAAGCAGAAGGTTTATTTAGACGACAGGAACACAGTCCAAGACAGGTCTTGCAGGCACAGACAACAGGACCGCCC